GATATGAGTCGTGATTTTATTCGTGTAATGTCCAGGCTCATGTCCAATCACTGTTCGTTAAACGCCCACCTCTTCCGTATTACGCTCGCGGACAGCAACTTATGTACCTGTGGAAACGGTTATCACGACATCGAGCATGTTGTTTGGTCCTGCTCCTTGCATTGTGAGGCGAGATCCGTTCTGTGTGATTCCCTTAGGGTCCGAGGAAAACAACCCTTTAAGCCAATTAGAGACGTCTTGGCTTGTCGTGATATCGACATTATGAAGCTTATTTACGACTTTCTTAAAGCTGTTGATGTATGTGTTTAGTGTTTTGTGTTTTAGTCATCCTTTACGTTTAAGTTTTAAATTAGTTCAAAATGCTTTCCCTTGTCCTCCCTCCAAATGATCAATAAATGTAATCCCTAATCTCGAGTAAACCGCGAGTAATCGGCCCCCGTTCTACTAACATTAGTTGTAAGAAAATTATATTCACACACAATAATGTAAAAAATATTCGGCTCCGCAAAGCTAACGCATTTGAGCCTTGACAAATAAATGGATTTAAAAAAAAAAAAAAAAAAAAAAAAAGCACCCTTCTAAAAATTCAGAATATTTTTAGACATAGTAGTACAAAACATTCAACAAACGCCTAGTGGGAGAATTCCCAAATGATCTTCACATCACCCAGCTGTCCTTAGTCTCCTGATCAACTTTGCAGAAGACATCACCCTTTTAAATAAGCAGGATTTAGAGAAACAGAATAAACAGTACAGAATGTTTGCAAGCTCACTAGCAATACAGAATATTTGTATGCTCACTAGCTCCACCGGTGGAAACTAACGATTTTAAATTGGCTCACTACTTGAGTAGCCTATTGGTCCCAAGCAAATCGATTAACGTACCCCATTCTAGTCAAAATTCTTGTACTACACAATGTTTGTTTTGATTAGCTATGAAAGTTTGACAGATAAAATGTGGGGTTCGTGGATTTTCCTATGTTTCAAGGGGTGCATCGATTAGCTTGGGACCGAAGATAGTACCAGAGCTGAGCCAAAAAGTTGAGCACGTTTCTTCGAGACCTACTAGTCTAAGAGTTACCTCTATGCTAGCACCACTTAGTAAAAGAATTCTGAATTGACTTATCCACCATTAAGCAGTCATTGATCTTCTCATCAACATTGCTGAAGACATCATCCTTTCAAATAAACAGTACAGAATATTTGCAAGCTCACTAGCGCCGCCTAACGTGAGAATTCCGAACTTATCTGACCACCGCCCGGCAGCCCTTGGCCACTTGATCAACTTTGCCAAAGACATCACCCGTCTAAATAATCAGGATCTTGAGATACAGCAATACAGAATATTTGTATGCTCACTAGCTCCAACCGATCGTTAACTAACTAATCCTCCGGCATTTCCTTGTGATTCTGCGTATAAAAGCTTCAATCGATTTATTTTATGTCTGTCTCTGGGCGGATCCATATTTTTAGGTTAATTTGTAAACAGTAGGGAGTTTTGTGATACACTTTATTGACACCGAAAAGTACCAATATATGCTTTATGGAGTATTTTGTCATGACATCAATAAAAAAAATACCGAGCAAGTTTATGCTTGACTCACTGAACAGTTTTATACAGGGAAAGAGTGCTGCATTAAATTTATTTTTAAAACCAGACCCGTTTTGACTTCATCGTCAGACTTTAAAAGGTTTTAACACAGCAGAATGCTGAACTACTAAAAAATAATGTGTTGAACTATTGAATGCAGTATTTAAACTAAAAAGATTGCTCATCGCCGTTATAAAACCACAATAAATCAGTATGACAGCCAAAAGGCTGCTAAATTGCTACTTGGGCTAGAATGCCCCTGTCATACAGAGGGAGTTAGATTGTACACATAGATGTACAATTTAGAAAGACCGAAATTCTTAAAAATAAAACCCTTCTTGACCATTCCATAGAATTTATCGCTCGTTTCACTTGTTAAAGAGCAATGTTTCTTTGCTTCCACGCAGTTTTTCTTATTAGTCCACAACTGTAATTTTACTACGCGCTTGCCACGTGGGTGCGAGCGCGGTCTCTAATCATCTCACCTTTTAAAGAGTTTTCCCTGACTCACCGTTTCCTCCATAATTTCCCCAAACCCAACGTTCGTGTGAGCGCAATCATTCGAACAATTTCCTGCGTCTCCTTTTCAGCGTGCAATGCCGACGACGACGACGCAACAAGTCTATGCTTGTACGGCACAAAATTATCATAGCACTAGGCACTCGCCTTTGCTGCGTAGGCCCCTATGATCACCGAAGTCCGTACGCATCTCATCGATGTTGGTGCAGCACCCTTGAAGTGCATCATCCATCCGCCACCCCTTCGCAGATGTACCACACACCTGAAGCCTGAATTGGAAATAGTTGTAATTGTGCAACGACGCCGACGACGCCGACAAGGAATGTCGGCCTCGCTTGAACTGGAAGTTCTATTTTCCATCCATCCGTCCACCCACTCGCCTCTGCCCCGATTGACTCGTCCCTCGTCGGAGTTGACTGGCATGCCGCGTGCGATGCACCACATGATGCACGGCTTGCAGCAACAGGGCCCATTAGGCCAATGATGTTCGATGGACATATTCGGCTGTGCGTTCGTTTGATGCTGCTGCAGGCAACCGAGCAAGGATTAAAACGTGCTCCGGAGGAATTTTTATGATAATGAGCTCGGTCGATTCTGAAATGTTGCGACGTCGTCGTTTGCGATTTAATTGCAGTGAGCTAATATTTCAATTATCGGAATACGAAATCAACGATCGTGGGGAGATTTGCGAGATTAAGTTCGGGTTTGGAAATCTGATACATTTTGCTTCACCACCGCCCGGGCGCAAACGATCAAATTTAATTACGGCAGCAGGAACGATAAAACCACATTGACTGGAGGGGCGGGCGTCGGGTGACAATTAAATCAAATCTTTGCAATCTTTATACGTGGTACTCCCTAAGGTGTAAGGGAAACTTGAAGGCAGAGAGCGGGGAAGCCACGGAAAGCAGCCACCGTGTGTGTGCGAATTGTAATTTATCGCCGACAGTTTTGGGAGGTGTTCTTGTTTCGGCTGCCTTCTGGTTTTTGCTGATACCTACAGGGTTGTTACACGACCGCTTGCATGGGTTGAGGCTGGGCTGCATTCTCGTCGCGCGTTATCGCGACAAACGAAATAATTAATTTTAATTAAGCGAAATGTTTTGCTGCAACAGGTCGATGTCGAACGGTGGCAGGATTTTTGGCTGTATGGTTGGTTTTATGGGTTTATTGACTGCTGGATTCTGTGCCAGCTGGACGGTGTCAAACGGTGTAGACATTTTTAAAAGCAGCAACCTTATTAATAAGAAGTTTATAAGTTTGTTTCCGTGGTAGTTATATTTGAGGGTAACCTTGTTGTTTGACATTCCATTCCATCGTCGTCGTCGTCGTCGTCGTCATCGTCATCGTAGATGTGGAGTCTGAAATCACTTAATCCACAAGATTACGAGAATTTGCGAGCAGATAGTGGGTTCAATACCAGGCTCATTCTTATTAGAACAAGTGTAAACATCCCGTTGTTTGGTTTCCAATTGGACATTTTTTGTTTTGTTTCAAGAGAATATTAAAAAAGGCTACTGATACTAGTCGGAACAATCCAAAAAGTTATTTTCTCTGGAAAATGTAACGCATACTCGCTTCAGGATCGAGAACGCAACATGTTATTCCATTATATGTTAGTTGACTTCTTTCGGAGATGATTTTCATTTGAATAGCTTTATACCGGGCTTGAACGATCATCGATCGCAGTGGCTCGTTGTGATGTTAGGGACTCGGTGACCTAGTGGGGACCGTTTTTGCTTACTGAGCAGAAGATCAAGTCCCGTTTGCATTACAGAGTCGATAGGGCCGCATCGATATTTATGATGATTTAACAAGTGGAAGTGCCAGCACCAGTATTGCACAACATACAAATCAATAAAGAGCTATTTTTTGCAGCAGTCGATTTGTAGACAACAGCTCAAAGCTCCATACTTTTTCCTACCTACATCAATAGTTTTCCCTTGCAATAATGTTACCAGTGTTTTGTTTTTTACTGCTCTCTTCACCTGTAACAGTTTTCATCCACTTTTCCTCTATCTAATTCACTTTATTCACCTACTTTTACTACAATAAACCGTTCAAATTTTACAATTTCCACCTCCAGAATGACTTTTCTCCGAATTAATGTACTACCCAGCTGCTGTTGACAGCTACACTCAGGTCCGCATTCTCTCTCTCTCTCTGCGCATATAGTAGTCGCCAGCTATGACGTCGACGGTGCCTCAACAGCCCCCCACCGTAACACTGACGCAGGCTCCCCGATGGAGCCAGATTTACCGTTCCGTATCTCAGGCACCACTAACTTAGCGACCGGTCATCGGTAGACTCCTTTAGATGTACGGACCACCGCCTACCTGATCCTGCCGTCGACTCCTCGCTTCACTTCTTCCGCTATCGCTCGTACCCAGCACTTCCGGTTGTTGTCATCCGCTATGAAGCCTATCTCACCATCTTCCAACGGATGTTGTTCGCTGTGCCACTTCGTGCGCCGGTTGAGGTGCGGAAGATACTCGACTAGCCATCGTTTCCACAGACGATTAGCTAGTATCTGCGAACGCTCGTTGCTGTCTCGCAGTGCTTTGGCTTCGTCGCTAGGTGGCACGATACATTCAGTTTCGCTTTCCGATTGCCCCTTGAGGAAACCGTTCGGAGTTATCGATCCAACATTTCCTGCGTCTTGTGGAACGTATGTTAGTGGCCTGGAATTGAGCATATCCTCGGTCCCAGCCAAGGTCGTGAGCAGCACTTCATCCCTTAATTTACGGCCATCGTCCAATACCTTCATTGCCTCCTTTACTGATCGGACCAGCCGTTCCCACACTCCACCGAAATGTGGCGCAGTTTTTATTCTCTTCACAATCTCCTTACTAGCACCAAGAAAATTCGTTCCGTTAGCCAACGGAAAAGTTCTAACCAACCGGATATCCAACGGCTCCAACCATGATCTCGTCGATTACGATGAGAAACAGTAGCGGTGGTAATATACATCTTTGCCTCACATCCGCGATTACCCGAATCGGGTCAGACAAAGCTCCGTTGTGCAATACTCTGCATGACAAAGCCTCGTACTGCGCTTCGATGAGGTTGACGATCTTATCAGGGACTCCCTTGCGTCTCAGAGCGCCCCACAAGTTTTCGTGGTTTAGTCGGTCGAAAGCTTTTTCGTAGTCAATGAATACCAAGTACAGGGACTCTTGGAACCATTGACCTACTCCAAGATGATGCGGAGCGTGACAACATGGTCCACACAGGATCTTCTAGCACGGAACCCTGCCTGCTGTCGTCGGAGAGTCACGTCGATCTTCTCCTGTATCCGATTGAGGGTAACTTTTCACAGAACTTTGAAAACAGTACACAGTAACATGATGCCTCGCCAGTTGTCGCATACAGTTGGATCCCCCTTCTTGGGGACTTTTACCAAGGCGCCCTGCATCCAGTCGGCCGGAAAAGTCGTGGTGTCCCAAATATTGACGAATAGTTGATGCAACATTTGTGAGGATAGCATGGGGTCAGCTTTGAGCATCTCTGCATATATGCGATTGACCCCCGGGGCTTTGTTGGACTTCATACTTCGGATGGCTGCTTCTATCTCCTGCAATGATGGAGCTTCAGTGTTGACGCGAGTAATGCGCCTCACCCTTGGTGGATCATGCCGAGATGTTGATGGTTGGTTGACCGTTGAAACTTCGAGAAGTTGTTCAAAGTGCTCAAACCAACGTTTCACGGGAGACCCATGTGACTTTATGCACTGGACAATGGGGGAAGAGCGAACCCTCGATCACCATGTCATTGTTGCCACAAAACTCTGCAAGCAGCTCGCCGTTCGCGCTCATTTCTCCGAGACCATGGCGTCCCATAATGCGCTTATAGTCCGAGTTGTCGGAGCCGATCTTCGCATTGAAGTCGCCTGTGTAGATCTTGATATCATCTCTTGGAGTCTTATCCACGACAACATTCAGCAGACTGTAAAAGTTCTCTTTGTCCTGCAATTCGGCAGCATCGGTTGGCGTATAACATTGGATTATGGTAAGGTTTCGGGCCCGTGTTCTGAATCTGGCAACGATTATTCTCTCATTGATAGGTTCCCACTTGATGAGCGCAGCCTGTGCTTTGGCGCTAAGCAGAAAGCCAACTTCACGATGTCGCGGAGCGTTTTCACCTCCCATATAAAAGTACCTATCCCGAAAGCAGCTTGTGTTCTCCAAAGTGGGACTTCACTAAGTCCCAGGATTTATAGCTTCATACGACCGGCCTCACTGGCGAGTTGTGCCAGTTTACCCTGTTGGGCTAGCGTCAGTAAATTCCATGTTCCAATTCTTGTCCGTTGTTTAGCGCTAAAAGTCGTTGCCATGAAATCAGTTCGTAATCTTTCACTATAGGTTTCTGTAACAATTTGAAGGTTTCGGAGACAGTAGGTGGTTGGCCTAAGGTTTCCTATCCGCCTTGATGGGACTGCCATCTTGGGTATAGCTTTCGGGAAGAAGCATTTCGTATTCAGCCGCTGGATGCCAGTCAGACGCTGTTTGAGCCACCCCTAACATGGAGAACAGACGCTCGGGTTTTGTACACCACATCCTCCGAAAAGGATGCAGCTCCCCCTTCCCTGTCAGAATACGACCAAAGTTGGTCAGCATCCCACCGGGGTTGGCTACCCGATCCTCCCTTAGGTTACTCGTACCCCAGCCGGCGCCGCGGGGAGGAAGAGATATGAGTTACTGGGCAAAAGGCTAAGGACTACTTGCGTGACGGGTCTATATAATAACCTTCAAGTACGCAAAGTACCGATGGTACGCATTATCCCAGTCATTTGCCGACCCAATGCCGGAGGATAGTCGAGTAATAATACTAGCGATAGTAGGGGTAATAATTCTAGCGATTCTGTCGACGACAGGGAATAGGAATACAATTCCAGAACTTCCTGGGAGGCCCAGCCGCTCTGAATGAACCGGTAAATGATGACAGAACAGCCAACTAAGAAGAGTGAAGTGAATGCTGTTCACGAAGCACTGGAAGATGCTTAAAATTGATGGGAATACCCCTAATATTGTCAATGGCGTTTGCGTCACGTTCTGAATAAAAACAGACCACACTTCTCCAGAAATTGCGTTTCGATGATGATCTGAATAACATGCATCAGTGTCAAACTGGGACTGCGGAAAACTGACGACAGGAAACTTCAAAAGCTGTCAGTCAGATGCCTTCGCAGCGGTTTTATTCGGCGAAAGGGTTAACTGTTCCAAAAAATCCAAGCAAGCGCACATTAACTTCCTCGTATTATCCGGGAGAAGGGAAACTTTTTGGGAACGATTGAGTTTGCACCTGTTCCAAGATATGTAGATACTTACCTTACTTACCAATCAGGCTAAGGCCTTGTTGTCCTCTGCTGTCCGAAGAAGTCGTCTCCACTCTACTCGATCCATGGCCACAGTTCGCCAGCCTCGTAGTCTGCGAAGGGTCCGCAGGTCACCTTCTACTTGGTCGATCCACCTTGCCCGCTGCGCGCCTCTTCTTCTTGTTTCTGTTGGGTCGCTTTCTAGAACCATTTTCACTGGGTCGTCATGCGGCATTCTTACGACGTGCCCAGCCCACCGTAGTCGCCCAATTTTTGCAATGTGGACGATGGATGGTTCTCCCAGCAGCTGGTGCAATTCGTGGTTCATTCGCCTCCTCCACGTTCCGTCATCCTTCTGCACTCCACCGTAGATGGTACGCAACACCTTCCGTTCGAAAACACCAAGGGCGCATTGGTCCTTCACGAGCATAGTCCAGGTGTCGTGGCCGTAGAGGACCACCGGTCTAATCAGCGTCTTGTAGACAGTCAACTTCGTGCGGCGGCGAATTTTATTCGACCGGAGCGTCCTCCGGAGTCCACAGCAGGCACGATTCCCTGCCATAATGCGTCTTTGAATTTCTCTGCTGGTATCATTTTCGGCGGTCACCAGTGAGCCCAAATACACGAACTCATCGACCACCTCGATTTCGTCACCGTCAATCTGAACTCGGGGTGGGAGGCTAACATTGTCTTCCCTAGAACCTGTTCCTTTCATGTATTTTGTCTTTGATGCGTTGATGGCAAGTCCAATCCGTCTAGCTTCAGCCTTCAGTCTGATGTACGTTTCCGCCAGCATCTCAAAGTTCCGTGCCATAATGTCAATGTCATCGGCGAAGCCAAGAAGCTGGATGGACTTCCTGAAGATCGTGTCGCTCGTGTCTATCCCAGCTCTTCTGATCACACTTTCTAACGCGATGTTGAACAGCAGACACGAAAGTCCATCACCTTGCCGTAGCCCCCTTCGAGATTCAAAGGGACTCGAGAGTGTCCCCGATACTCGAACAACGCACATCACTCGATCCATCGTCGCCTTGACCAATCGCGTCAGTTTATCCGGAAGTCCGTACTCGTGCATAATCTGCCATAGCTGATCTCGATCGATTGTGTCGTATGCGGATTTGAAATCGATGAACAAATGATGTGTGGGCACGTTGTATCGTTGATATGTAGATACACTTCCTGATTAAATGCTTCCAATTGAAGAGCCCGGGCGATCCCTTATCGAGGATGCCACACGACTAACGCTGGAGTAGAAACTCGGTCAAAAAATTATCGATAGATAAACACATTTTGACGTTTAACCTTTTCCAGCCAACTTTGCCACCATTAATGCCGTCATAAAACTAAAAATAGGCATATGATCAAGCAAAATGGCCTAAGATAAAAACAAATCAGTCTGCAAATTATCTTCATTAAAGCCGCGTCTTAGTGGAATACCTGTATAATGAGAGAGAGAAGGATTAGTATTTTCCATTTAATTCGACTTCGAGTCGAGTATTAGTACAAGACACTGAAGAAGTCTGCACATTGTAGACGAAATACGCGTATCCGTCAAGGATAAGCAAATAAAGTAGTGGAATTAAATGGAAAATACTAATCCTTCTCTCTCGAATTAAAACGTTTTGCATTTGTTAGCGATTTCATGAAAGCAAACTAGCTTTTTCACAATTGGTTAATGTAAAATCAATTGTTATGCCACCGCCATGTTGCTATTAGTCCATTTGTTTTTTTACTATCTTCGTCTTTCAAGATGTTTTTCCTTGAAAATAACATTAATCTCATCAATTCATCAATGAGCATTAATAGAAATTACAAAAATCGTCTCGGCTGGACGCAATGATTTATTTAAAAATAACCATACTTTGTTTCCTAAATTAAAAATAATAAGTAAAATCAAGGATTTCCGAAGGCGGACTTATTTTCTCCGATCTTCCGAAGCACATTTTGCATTAGATTTAATCTGTCACCACAAAATGAGATCTGTTTTGATAATTTTGGTAGTTCTTTCACATTATTGATGATGAAATTTATGAGGATTTTTGACAGATTCATGTTTGAACAATGAATTTGGCAATTTATTTTTAGTGCGCTTAGCAAGCGTCAAAGGCAAATGGCACAAGTATTGATGTCGAATGGCTTTTATTGTCTCAAAATATGCTCTTCAAAACCTTCTTCGGGGTGGGCCAACTAAACAGATTCTAGTCTTAATGAAGTTTTGGTGGATGTGGGTTTTATGAATGTTGTTTTATAGTAGCCATGTAGTACTTCATAAACCGTAAAATGTTACTTGGGAGGGATGGCTGACGTTTATCGTACGCGAACTACTGTTTTCAATAGGAATATTAATCTCATCTCTTTCCTGATGATAACAAATCACTGACTGATTTAAAATCTCCTTCTCCCTCACCTTTGCAAAAGTAATCTAGTTTTTAGATTAAGATTCATTATGTATAACACACATGATAACTTGGCTCTGTAAATTTTATTCGATTGAGCCTGTACTGAATTATTTTACATTGATAATAAACACGTGATTTCTTCTGGAGCACTTTGATATAAAGCGATCAAATGTCTAGGTACAAAGCCTAAACTCCATACATTAATCATTAATTTGATCGATATGAAGGAAGTAGGCTCCAATGTCGAAGCAGCTCACTACCCTATTTATTTGAATTACGAACTTCTAATTCGCTGCCAACTTGCAAACACATTACCGCATCTACACCGATGCTTCCATCCTGCGAAATTTCCATGACCATATTTCTTCATCAAAACCTTCCTCCCCAACACATCCCACTTTTTCTCACGAGAACGCCCCGCAGAATCGCACACCGAAAACAAATGATTCAAGTCGCCCAATTTAAGTCGCTATGAGGTTATTTTTTGCTGCTGCTACTGCTGCTCCTGCCGCGCTGTCGTGCATTCGCTTCTCATCGCACATTTTGCGAAGCTTCCCGTCTTCATGCGGGCCCTGGCTGAGGAGACCCACATATACATTTTTGGTCCATCTGTGCGGTGCCAAGTCAGCCGAGCGCCATCCAACGACGGGCCCAAGAATGCACCCTGCTGCCTGCTGCTGGGCCCCTCGCTGCTGGGAAAAGCCATTTTCGTGAAAGCCCACCGCACACACAAAAAAAAAGAGCATCTCCCGGTGCAAATGAAAATAAATGATTATTATTTCGAGGTCTGTTTGGATGGAGGATGCTGCTGGTGCTACTACTCGGCAGCGTCGATCTTTATTTAATTTTTCGTTCGCCTTCTCGTGGCGTTGTGCCGGCTCGCCAGATCGGCAAAGATTAATCGAAACGCGTCCGACCGACCGGGGCATCCTCTCGTCCTTCTTCTTATGACGCTAATTAAATGTGTTTTTAAAAGTGCAGCTGAATTATGACTTTTTATGACATGAGTGCACACACACACACACGCGCGCGTTGGAAAGAGTAGCCCTCGAGAGTGCGAGAAGATGAGTTATCGCGCCACGGCAAGCCCGAGCGACGTAGCAGGCACTGACTGGGCGAATAGCAGCATCGCGATTCGTCGTCGCCTGAAGTTACCGTCGTCGCTGGCAGAGAGCAGAGCCTACTTTGTTCGGATGTGATGCATGCTACAATAAAAGCGTGAAGCCGCCTGCGACGGGAAGCAGCGCCTACTGGCCAAAGGAGTGAATTATGAATTATTATCTTTATCTTTACGAGTTTTCGGCACGGATCCGCGCACTCGACGTCGCCGGGAGGATATTTTCTCCTTCACGTTGGGGCTCTTATCGAGCGAGGGGCCACCGCGTGCTGCCGCGTTAAATGTGATAAAGTGAGAGAGTGCTGAAATTAAGCAGATGAAAGGAATTTGTCGTAATAAAAGTTTTGCTTGACGTTTTTTTTTGTGTCTGCGGCTTCCTTGTGCGGCGATCATACGGCAGCTTAAACTGTTTATTAAAATTGTTTGTGGATTTCTTTTTTGCTGCCCTGTTGTCTCCCTGTCAGTTGTGGGGCTGTTAAAAGAGAGGTTTCCGTCTTGGCCGCCGTCGGTTGATGCGTCGTCGGAGTCGTTGAAGCGATGGTCATTTAGATAAGCCGAGGTCGACAAGTCATAATATTGATTTTGCGGTCGACGTTATTAACGGGAGTAGTTTATGGTCGGAACTTTGCAATGCTTCAGGAGGAGTTTTTCCAGATTTTTTGGCAGTGTTTCAGATTGTAGCTTTCATCGGTCGGTTCGATTTACTTCACGAAAGAGAAATCTTCTTTAAAGACTATTTGTTAAGCCCAGAATCTTATATATTTCTCTACACAACTGAAATTTCAAACGTTTACTCAATTCGTGATATTCAAATAATTTCTTACCTCGAGACTTCCAAGATGTACATTTTTTTAAAGTTTTTAAAACTTTCCGGAGTCCAACATTTTGAAATATTTTAAATGCAATATCTCGAATGTTTGAATTTATTTTGAATGTTGAACATTTAATTTGTAATCACAATGAAATGTCAAGTCAAAGATGTCGTTTTTATTTCGACCTAGGACTACGTCTGTGATTTCTATATGGGGGTACACTTTGTGAAAACCGAAAATGGAACATGTCACGAAATTATGAATGATTTTGAACGTTAATAACTCAGCTGCCCCTGGACCAATTGCAATAATTTTATCACCAATCGATCAGAAATATTGTTACGCAAACAAATCCACCAATTACGTACATCCATATGCTGCTTCCCAAACACAGTCATCAGAGAATCGTTTCTAGACGAAACATGTCGATCTAGCATTGCTGCTTCCCCAACACTGTCATCTCGTTAGTAGACGAAACAAGTCGAGGTGGCATTCGCCTCCGATCTTCGGGAGTGTGCGAATAGGGAGGATGCAATTGTGTAACATTCTGAAAACTCATCGCCATATTCATAACCACAAGCCCCCAACGACCACACAAAATGCTCTCCAGAGTTGTAATCTTGTAACCAAACTTGGGAGCAGGGGTGTAAGTGATTTCAATCGATTCTATTCATCGACTTTCTGTTTCGTTAATAACTCGACGGCAAACACATTCCTTGATACGTTTGTTGTTCTGGATGATAGAAGCAGAAGTAGGGCGAAATAGGTTAGTGAAGCCATGATCATCAAATAAGGAAATCGATGAAGAAAATTGACTTTCACCCCTCTGCTTCTAAGCTTCTTAATTCAGTCGTTGTCATATCAATGAAGACTAGCATCGCACAGCTTTTGGTTCTTGGATTACACTTGCTGGTTGCAATTCTGCTGTTCGACATTTTCGAAGGACCACCAAAAAACATGAAATTACACTATTTTCCAGGGATCCCTAAAAGTCCAATTATTCGATTAATGATTAATCGTAAAGATTTTTCCAGCGCTATTCGACTTAATATTTATCGAATTTTCAATTATTCGAGTGCATCACCGACATCGCTTCTTATTTCTTCCCGTTTGATTAAGCCTGTATAAAAATAATTTAAGATAGTATTAAAATCCCAATTGATCTGTTAGTCGTTGGTGAAACGTGGCTAAAATCAAATAATTTTGTTTTATTTAAAATATTAGGGTTAAAACTCTGTCTTTTCTTGTCGTGACACGTCTTTCACGTATTCGCTCAAAATTAATGGACCTAAATAATGTATTGTTTTGACAAGAAAAATGGCTTACAAAATCAAACTGAAAGATCTTTTCACTATTTTTTTTTTTTTTAACGATTTCGTTTGCAGTTCCTCATAATAACAACTCAAAGAATTTGTTGAAACAGGTGTCTTAAAAAAACAGATGATAAATAGATTATTATAAAAAATTGTTAAAAGTACATGTCATGCCAAATTGTGGAAAAAGTTAAACAAGATTATGGGACGTTCAAAACCAGAGAATTTTTGTGCTTTTTCTGAGATTCTCAGAGATTTCCTGAATCTTTGTTATTTTCTGATTTTGTGATATTTGCGGAGATTTTCTGTGCTGATTTGATTTATATATTTTTTTAAATTCGTTCTTAGTTTCTGTGAATTCCTAATTGATTTTCTATATCCTTCTTTTCTAATTTAGTGATTTTCAGTATTATTTAATTTTCTGTTATTCTCAGTGTCTTTCTGATGCCTTATTATTTCCTGATATTTAATATCTGTGTTGATTTGATTTTTTAGATTTTCTGATTTTCTGATTTGAAAATCTTACAACGATATTTAGTTGCCAAGTCGAGAGGTGTTTTCCCATTTATCTGTCGAGCGTTTACGTCTGCTGAATGATCGATCAACAACCGCACTGTGTCCACATGGCCATTGCAAGCTGCCAAGTGAAGAGCTGTACTATTATCCTTATGCCGTGCTTCGATTGCATCGGCGCTGGCATCTATCAGTAGTTTGGCTATTTCTGAACGGCCATGGCGGGCCGCCAGGTGAAGTGGTGTCCATTTATCTTTTGCCTGCTGAATTAGTACGTTTGCTGTGTGGTGTATCAGTGCTTTCACAACTTCAACGACACCTTTCTCCACGGCCAAGTGAAGCGGTGTACAGCCATTGCTGTCCTGGGAGTTAAGGTTTTCTGCATTAATCAATATGTTCACTATGCTTTTGCGATCGAAATGAGCTGCCATGTGCAGTGGTGTCCGGAGCTTTTTATTCCGGATGTTCTGATCCGCTGAGCGTTTGACAAGTAACCGGACAACTTCCATAGTCTGATCGTAGCGAATTGCCAGGTGAAGAGGGGTGTCTTTGTCTTTCTGCTGGACGTTGATCGAGGCAGACCGATCGAGAAGTAGTTCAACAATTTCCAAATGTGCATAACGGGCGGCCCAGTGGAGGGGGTCCATTCTTCCTCAGTCCTGGCATTGACATCGGCCATCCCATCCAGAAGTTCACCCACAACTTCTTGATGATTTTTATAGCACGCAAAGTGAAGGGATGTCCATTTGTTCGATTTCTGGGCGTTCGGTTTGGCCGATCGCTTCAGCAGAAGCTTCACAACTTTATTGTGACCTTGATCGGACGCCAACATGAGTGGCGTTGCATCATCCCTGGCATCGACCTCTGCTGAATGGTCGAGCAGCACTTCCACGATATCTATAAAGCCACGAGAAGCTGCGATATGAAGTGGAGTTTTTTCTAAAGTCTCTTGTTTAGCGTTCACATCCGCTGATTGATTCAATAGTAGTTTGAAAATGTCCGTATGACCTGATTGAACAGCCCCCCAAAATGCTTTGGCAACATGTTTATCCAGCGAATTTACCTCGGCTAAGTGATCGATAAAATACCGAACGATCTCTGTACGCCCGGCTGAAGCTGCCAATGACAGGGGTGTTTCCGTACCGGTTAAAGCGTTTGCATCGGCGGATGACCGTTCCACAAGTAGCCTAACAATATCTGCATGGCCTTTCTGAGCTGCCAGGTGAAGAGGTGTATAGCCTCTATAATTTGTAACACCCGGATCGACTTGTCGATTCAATAGCAACTGTACTGTGACGGTTTGGCCGCTCTCGGCGGCCACATGCAGAGGAGCAGTTCCTACTTTGTCGGGCACGGTAATGTCCACTAGTCCGTCAACGATGAGATGTTTTACAATTTCTACGTGGCCATTTGCAATTGCCAAGTGCAATGGTGTAATTCCAGCGTAGTCCTGAGCATTTAAATCGGCTGCATGAGTTGTTAGCTGGACTACAATGGACATGTGACCGAAACGAGCACGCCAAGTGAAGTGATGTTCGTTTGTATTCATCCTGAGCGTTAACGTCTGCCTGGTGATCGATAAGCATTTGCCCGATATCCACAAAAAACAACGTTGGGCAGCCAAATGCAGCGGAGTGAGTAATCTAGTGTTTCGGGCATTCACATCGGCAGAATAGGCTAGTAGAAGTTCAGCAACATTCTTGTGGCCATGACTGGTGGCCAAATGAAGCGGTGTCAGTTGACTTGTGATTTTTAGCTGTTCTTGGAAAATACTTGAATCTCCGCTAAATTCATCGAAAGGGTTGGTGTCTTCGTTGGATAAGCAGTTGACTTCCATACCATGTTTATGGATCAAGACGTCATTACTCGATTGGAACCGTCTGTCTTTCGGAGGCCTGAAAATGTGAATGAAAAGGCAGTGATCTGATAATTTCCCTGCTAGTGTCATAAAAAGTAATGGAACTAAGTTTTCAGACATCCTTGTTCACCTTTGCAATCAAATTGTAGAACAAGGTACATACCCTGAGTGTCTCAAAATAATTTTCGACCTATTTCTACTCTTTCTGTCTCAGTAAAAAATTTGAAAAATTGTTGGTTTATAGATTTGTTAATTTTTTGACATAGTTGCATAGTTGAAGATGCTAATTTCAAATAACAGACTGAAGTGGTAATTTTTATACGATAGATGAGGAGATGAAAGTATAGAATTATAATATAATACTAATAGTATAGAGTTTAGAGTACGGCAGTGTCAAAATAGCATATAGAGAGTAGACAGCGAGCTAGGGCAACTTTACAAAGGTACAAATCGGTTTTATCATCTCTCTTTACCAAAATCCCCCTTTGGAGAGGGATGGTTAGGGATGTCCCCCCCCCCCTTGAATCAATATTCTTTACATTCTTTTTGAATCAATATGATATTCTTAACAAACTTCAATACAGTTTCAGAAAGGGATTTAGCACTTCTACAGCCATAATATACTTGTTGAGCTACTGTGTAATAAAATTGACAGTAAGTGCGTTGTTGGTGGCCTCGTTATTGAGCTAAAAATGGCGTTCGATACTCTGAACCATAGCATTCTTTTGCTAAAATTAGAATACTATGGAATACGAAGTGTGGCAAATGACATTATTCGAAGTTATTTAACTAATAGGCAGCATTGCATTGCTTCAGCTAAGCGAAACAATTTTCTAGAATTTGTTCAATGCAGAGTAGTAACAGGTTGTATTGGCTATCAAAAGCAACAGCAAACGCACCGAGAAACGTTAAATCTAGCGAGTTATTAACAAAAGAGAAAATCGACGAAGAGAATCGATCATCGCGTATAGGCCCTTATGCATGCTCACTGTCGATATATTTTCGTTCCCTTTTATTTTTGTTTAGGTAAATCTGTTGCGGTGGTACGTGAGTAGATGATGGCGGGGGGATCTCACTCTCCGACGATGATTCTCTGCTGGATTTTCCTTCTTCTGAGGCGATGAATACCTCTGGTAGTGATGGGTCAGCCACCAATAAGTACACCAGAACGTATCCAAAGGTTAAACGATCTCCACAGCCACCTTTTCCACCAACTCCTCCACCCGTTCCCCCGAGAACATCACCTGCCCCCCCGCTCTAAGGCTTACCCAGAAGACTCGAAAAGCCCGTGGGTTGTCTTCTTCCAACGCAAACAAAAGGCTTGGAATGTTCATCAGATTTAAAAGAATCTGATTAAACATTTTTCAGCCGTGACTGTGATTTTGAAAGTAAGACCAAATAAACTACGTGTTACCGTTAGCGACCATGTGCATCAAATTGTTGTATTTAAGCTTTTTGTTGGAATATCGAGTGTATATTCCTAGTTGAAATCGAGGGAGTTGTTACCGAAGTGAGTATAACTCGCGATGATTTCCTGAAAGGCGGGGTTGGTGTCTTCAAGAACCCTCACCTCCCGAAAATTAAAATACTAGACTGCATTCAAATGCATTCAGTGTCCCTCGTTGGAACGAAGAAAACTTACACGCTTTCGGACTCGTTTCGTGTGACCTTCGCTGGCTCAGTACTACCAGATTACGTCGCTTGTTTGTACCAAAGGTAATGAACTGCACAAAATGTAAGCGACTAGGTCACACTGCGGCTTTCTGTGGTAACAAGCCGCGCTGTGATCAATGTGGGGAGAATCATACGGAGGGATCTTGTCGTGCCTCCCCAAAATGTCCTTATTGTTTGGAAATTCCGCATGCTCTCACTGATTGTCCAAGGTACAAACAGCAGGGAGAAAAACTCCATCGGTCTTTGAAAGCTCGCGAGCAGCGTTCCTTCGCGGAAATCCTAAGATCAACTACTCCAACTTCCCGAGTTCCTCCGTGTAGTAACCCCTTCGACCTTCTCTCGGTTGATGATCAGGGCTCTGACTCTAATGTTGCCGAGGGAAGTCATTTCGTTTTCAAAGCCCCACCTAGGAAGCGATCCAAAATTATCACGCAACAGCCTCAGAAGGCCTCTCGTATTGAACCTCGAGTCATCTTGAAGAAACCAAGAAGTAGCGGTAATGTTCCGAAGGCCCCTCCACCGGGTTTCAAACCATTTGATGTTGATAGGGCCATTCCGCGGCTTCCAACTTCTTCCAAGGCTCCGGATATTGCAGTTTCACAGCCAGGACAACATGCAGCCATGTTCACGTTTTCTGGAATTGTAGATGGCATTCTCGAAATATTGAATGTGTCTGACTCCATGAGGAACATTATTGTTTTGATGATTCCAATGTTGAATACTCTTTTGAAGCAACTAACTTCAAAACGGCCAATGCTTTCGTCGATCATCAACTTTGACGTTTAAAATTACTAGCGTTTGAGAGTGTGATAGTGATTTGTCTGTTCGTGTATCAATTTTAGTTTCTGTTTTCTCATCGTTGTCCCTTCCCAAACCCCTCGAGAGAGATCAAGAGCACGTTCCCGTCACCTCACTGCATCTCCCATGGTCAATCGTCGAAAAATAGCCAGTAAACGGCGGTGGAGATAAATATATCAATCGCATCCTTGTGTACCTTTTTCTTGATCCCTTCCCTATTTCCCTTTTAATAGATTGTAGCCCGTAACCTCGAGTAAGCCGCGAGTATTTGGACACCTCTTGTACTAACTCTATTTTTAAGAAACATTGTAAAAAGAAAAATGAATTTCGGCTCCGTAAAGCTTCCGCATTTGAGCCTTGATAAATAAATGAATTTACAACAACAAAATGCCTTTGCCTAGTTCTAGATCCCGTGCTCTTGTGGGGAAGTCATATTGAGCATATTCAAAGTAAAATTTCATCACTCTGTGGTTTAATGTCAGTTGACGATCATTTCTCATTGCGAGAAGACGCTTTTGTACAATCGCCGCGCTGAAAGTCATATAATTAGCTACCGTTCGTGTGTGTTTCCTTGTCAGCCCTAACCGGCTACCTTTGTAAGGAAAAGGAAAACAAAAAGATGTCCAGTGGAATCGTCAAGAACACACTGAATTTCCACTGGAGCTCCTGGACCCACCGTTGTAGAAATTGGTCGATTTGTCAAAGGGTTTGATGCGGACAAAGCAGACATGGAAACAGGCTACAAACTTTCCGATGAAAGGGTTGTTTGCATCAAATTCAGATCTGAAAGAGCAATGAAGGAGGCTCTCCTGCACAACCCGGAGGTTCATACGTTCCACTACTCCAATAGTCAATCCGTGGAAGTTCGTATGACGGTCGCTGGAGGGTGATCCAGTGAAACGCATGATCCGCGAGAAGTTCCCGGCGGAATTGAAGCTAGATCTCTTTACCGGTGTCCGTGGGGTGTATATGGACATCAAAAAAGACATCCCATCAACCATCCATTTCCCCAACCGCCGAGGGAGAATCTACTACGAGGGACTGAGACAGAAGTGTTTTTTGTGTAAGCAGGAAGGGCATCTGAAAGTGAAATGTCCACAGAACAACGCACAGCAAGAATCAAGAAAGGATATGGAAGCAAAGCAGGAAGCGGTAAAAATGAAGAAGACGGCAGCTAAAGCGAGCCAAAAGGAAGAGGTGGACGTACCTTGCAATGCCACCTATGCTGGAGCCGTTCAGAGAGCGGCATCATCGTCTAAAAACAGTAGCAATTTGGAGCTGTCAATGGTCAGGTTAGTTTCGTTGACAAACGGGACC